TCATAAGAAAATGCAAGGGACTCAGAACGGCAAAGTAATTTTGAAAAAGAGGAACAAAGGTAGAAGTCTCACACTTCTCAACTTCTAAACTTACTACGAAGCTACAAAAATCAAAACAGATTGTATTGGCTTAAGGATAAACATAAATCAATGAAATGGCATGAAGAATTCATAAGTAAAAGTACATTTATGGTCAATTGAAAGGGGTAAATAATAGTCTTTTCAGTGCTGGGACACTTGTTATCCACTCTGAAAAGTTTAGACCTGTACTAACACCAAACACAGAAATTGACTCAAAATAGATTAGAAGCCTAGATAGAAAAGCTTACAACATTTGAGAGTAAATCTCCGTGACCTGGGATTAGGAGATGGCTTCTTAGATATGACAACAAAGCACAAACCACAAAGGGAAAAGCTGGTTAACTCACACTTCATCAGAGCCACAAACTGCTGTGCTGCAAAGGAGACCACCAAGAAAGCAAAGGTAACCCCCAGAATGGGAGAAAGTGTTTGCAAGTCCCACGTCTGCTAAGAGACTTAGAAGCAGAGTACATTCAGAACTCCTTTAACTCAATGATAAAAAGACAAATAACCCAATTACAGACTGGGAAAAGGATCTGGAAAAAGTCCTACGAGGGGTGTCCCAACGGCCCTAACAAGGGAAAAGACGCTCAGTGCTGGCAGCCGGCAGGAAAAGGCCGACCCACGGGCTCCCGCTCCGCAGCCACGAAGATGGCTCTAGTCAGAGACAGCAGTGAGGTGTCAGTGAGGTGTGAACTCGGAGCACCTACGTATTTTTGATAGGAACATAAAAATGGTGCAGCCACCTTGGGAAAGCGTGCAGGTCTCAAAAACTTAAAACTAGAGCTGCCACTATGACCTAGCAACTCTGGCCCTGGGTATAGAGGTACATGAGGACGGGGCCACACAGACAGCTGTAAAAACCCCACGACATTATCCTAACAGGTAGGAACCGTCTGAATGTCCATCGACTGATGCAGCGGGAAGTAAAACATGAAGCACCCAGAGAAGGAAGACCTATTTAGCAATAGAATGCCATCAAGTACTAACACACAATACAGAAAAGATGAGTCTTGAAATCATGCTAAATGAAAGAATCTACGTCACAAAACGTACTGAGGAGGACTTCATGCTGTCCCCTATATTTTTAATTTTTTTTTTTTGGAGAGATTTTCACTGTAGGGCACGTGCGCTTGCCAGACAGACAGAGAGAGACATAGAGACAGAAAGCGAGAAATCACCCCCCAGGGGGGATGGTCACGCCGCAATCCCTTCTCCTCCATTCTCCTCTCGGGATCTTGGGCACGTATGCACACGCGCCCGGCGTGAGTTTTAAGCCACCGGGTCCGGGACACGAACCGCGGTCGACTACGTGGGAGTCCAGCGACATAGCCATTACGCTAACTGCTGGTTCCCGATATATTTTTAATTTTTAAAAAAAGCTTTTTGTGGTTAAAAAGAAAGAAATAATATATACACACATGCACACACTTATATAAACTAAAACAGTCACTAAATGGCCACTAAAATGGTTACCATGGTAACCATTTTTAATTGTAGAGTTCAGTAGTACTTAATGTATTTTCATTATCGTTAATCAGATCTCCAACATTTCTTTGATCCTGCCAAACTGAAACTCCATAGCCATCAATCAAGTCCCCTTCCTCTTGGCCAAGCTCCTGGAAACTGTCCCATCTCTCAGTGCCTCCCAGGAGTGGCCTCGACCACACAGCACATGGCTGCAGCAGGTGACAGCTCCCCTCCCTTGCTAAGGCGGAGCGATCTCCCCGTGCACACAGCCTGCACCTGTCCATCCTCCTTCCGCTGATGGACACACGGGCTGCTTCCACTCTGGGCTACCAGGAAAGGTGCTCCGATGAACACAGGTGCGCAGGTGTATGAGACCCCGTCAGCTCTCTGGGTACGTACTGTGAACACGGGTGCACAGGTGTGTGAGACCCCATCAGCTCTCTGGGGTACGTACCGTGAACACGGTGTGCAGGTGTGTGAGACCCCGTCAGCTCTCCGGGTACGTACCATGAACACGGGTGTGCAGGTGTGTGAGATACCGTCAGCTCTCTGGGGTACATACTGTGAACACGAGTGTGCAGGTGTGTGAGACCCCGTCAGCTCTCCAAGTACGTACTGTGAACACGGGTGTGCAGGTGTGAGACCCCGTCAACTCTCTGGGGTACGTACTATGAACATAGGGGTGCAGGTGTGTGAGACCCCATCAGCGCTCTGGGGTACACACTGTGAACACAGGTGTGCAGGTGTGTGAGACCCCATCAGCTCTCTGGGGTACATACCGTGAACATGGGTGTGGCAGGTGTGTGACCCCATCAGCTCTCCTGGTACATACTGTGAACACGAGTGTGCAGGTCTGTGTGAGACCCCGTCAGTGCTCTGGGGTATGTACCATGAACATGGGTGTTCAGGTGTGTAAGACCCAGTCAGCTCTCTGGGGTACATACTGTGAACATAGGTGTGCAGGTGTGAGACCCAGTCAGCGCTCTGGGGTACGTACCGTGAACACGAGTGTGCAGGTCTGTGTGAGACCCCATCAGCGCTCTGGGGTATGTACCGTAAATATGGGTGTGCAGGTGTGAGAGACCCCGTCAGCGCTCTGGGGTATGTACCGTGAACATGGGTGTGCAGGTGTGTAAGACCCCGTCAGCTCTCTGGGGTACATACTGTGAACATAGGTGTGCAGGTGTGAGACCCAGTCAGCACTCTGGGGTACGTACCGTGAACATGAGTGTGCAGGTCTGTGTGAGACCCTGTCAGTGCTCTGGGGTACGTACTGTGAACATGGGTGTGGCAGGTGTGTGAGATCCCGTCAGCGCTCTGGGGTATGTACCGTGAACACGGGTGTGCAGGTGTGTGAGACCCCGTCAGCTCTCTGGGGTACATACTGTGAACATAGGTGTGCAGGTGTGAGACCCCTTTAGCGCTCTGGGGTATGTACCATGAACACGGGTGTGGCAGGTATGTAAGACCCCGTCAGCTCTCTGGGGTACATACTGTGAACATAGGTGTGCAGGTGTGAGACCCCGTCAACGCTCTGGGGTATGTACCGTGAACACGGGTGTGGCAGGTGTGTGAGACCCCGTCAGCTCTCTGGGGTACATACTGTGAACACGAGTGTGCAGGTGCGTGAGACTCCGTCAGCTCTCCAGGTACGTACCGTGAACACGAGTGTGCAGGTATGTGAGATCCCGTCAGCTCTCCGGGTACGTACTGTGAACACGAGTGTGCAGGTGTGTGAGACCCCGTCAGCTCTCCGGGCACGTATACTGAGAAGCAGGGCTGCTGGGGCAAGGGGCTTCTTTTTAGAGTGATGAGAATGTTCTAAAATCCGATAGCAGTAATGACTACGCCCATGTGCTAAAAGCCCCTGAAGCGTACACTTGAAATGGGTGAACCGTGTCTGGTGTATGAATCACCTCAAGAGAGGTATAAAAATAAAACTTACAGGCTGCATCCAGTCTGCATTCACGCAAGGATTTTGACTTAACTGGAAAACCCATCTGGCTAAAACACCAGTCAATCCTGTTGTTCGAGTAATCTTGACTCTTATTTTCAGCAACCTGACGAGGAGATCAGGCATTTCTGAGACACAATCTAGGTCTGTAGCACCATGCATCAGAGAAAGGAGAAGAAACCGCCCGTATCTGTCTTTGATTAGGGATGCTAAACCTTTCCATATTGCGTGTCAGTAAATTACTGTGAAGAAATGATAACTTCATACCAACTATGGAAAATTTTTTTTGGGGGGGGGGGGAGAGATTTTCACTGTATGGCGCGTGCGCTCGCCAGACAGACAGAGAGAGACATAGAGACAGAAAGTGAGAAATCACCCCCCAGAGGGGATGGTCACGCCACAATCCCTTCTCCTCCATTCTCCTCTCGGGATCTTGGGCACGCACGCACATGCGCCCGGTGTGAGTTTTAAGCCACCGGGTCTGGGACACGAACCGCGGTCGACTACGTGGGAGTCCAGCGACATAGCCATTACGCTAACTGCTGGTTCCCCCAACTATGGAAATTTTATCCCCTTTGCTCTGTAGGCATGGCATTCTCCAGTTTCTTTGTTTTGTTTTGTTTTTGCACCACAGGTTGTGTGTGTCCACTGGAGGGAGAGAAAGACAGAAAGAGAAAGTGAGAAATCATCCGCCCAACCGGGGTCGGCCACGCTGTAATCCTTTCTCTTCCATTCTCCTCTTGGGATTTGGGGACGCAAGCATGCCTGGAGTGACTTTCGAGCCATCGGGTCGGGGGCAAGAACCATGGTCAGCCAGGTCGGAATCCAGTGACTTCACCACCACACTGCCTACTGGCTCCTTCATCAGATTGTTTTAGACAGTGACATAGGCAAGGCTTTTTTTTTTTTAATTTTTAAAATATTTTGAGAGTTTTTTTGCTATAGGGTGTGTAGACTCACCAGAAAGACAGACAGAGAAACAGAAAGCGAGAAATCATCTCCCTAGGGGGGATGGCCATGCCGCAATCCCCTCTCCTCCATTCTTTTCTCGGGATCTTGGGCACACATGTACACGTGCCCAGCATGAGTTTAAGCCACCAGGTCCGGGACTCGAACTGCAGTTGACTACATGGGAGTCCAGCAACATAGCCATTATGCAACTGCTGGTCCCCAAGGCAAGACTTTAATAGATTTCGGGTTGACTTTTTTTTTTTAAAGTGGGTTTGATCTTTTTTTAAAAACAAAACAAAACAAAACAAAAAACAACTTTGTTTTCTTCATATGAGAGAGAGAGAGAGAGACCCTTGACAGAGCCATCCCACTGCCATCTCCCCCAGCTCGTCCCCACGGGCACACTCAGCCTGTCCAGGGAGATGGCCGCAAAGCCAGAGCCCTCACGTACTGCTTCCAGCAGCCGTGCCCCTTCCCTCCACCACTCCTGCACCACCACAGTCAGCCTGATACTCTTCTGAAATCTCGGCCACAATTATTTAACATAACAGACAGTCCAAGGACAGGTTTATTCACCGTTTTTTTACCAATGATAAAAAGAGACACAATTAAAAAGCCCTATGTCCAATGCCATGGATAGGAAAGAGGCAGTAAGTGTAAAAGGAGAGAAGAGAAAAGATCTTCAGAAGGAACCACATAGTGAATCCAGCTTCCTGTCATCTCTCACTGTGAGGCTCCGCCACTGTGGCAGAGGAAGGACCACTGACACGCAGAGACAAATGTCATCCCTTTCTCTTCTGCTTCGTCCAGACTTTTCCAACACTGTCAAGACTCAAAAGCACACCTCGAAGTGCCCTCCTGACCTCTTCTGCTCAGAGCAAGGCAAAGTGCCAGAAACTACTTGTCTGACAGACCTTCTTTTTAAAATAACAGGCTCTACGTGGTTCACAGGAAGAGACAAGTTTGGATGCCGACTCTCAGTGCTGGCCTCAAGGCAGAGACTAAGACAATGATTACAATCCAGAGACAGCTACTCCTGGGACAGTCTTTCCAGATTACACATCTGTGTACACTTTGTGTTTTCTAAGGTCGAAATGCTGACAGCTGATTTCAGACTCTCACTTCAGATTCTTCAAATTCCGTCCGTATGCAGAAGCAAAGTTGTGGATGGCACTTCGCAGAGCTGAGCTCCCCTTGGGGATGTCACAAGGACTGACAACCGAGCACAGAGCCTGGGTGTACGCTGCAGAGAGGTGTGCACGGGGACGAGTGAAGTCCTTCTCTCCACAGAAACCCGTATCACACAGACAGGGCATTCTGAATACAAACACCGGTAAGTCTTTCCAGCGTGTCCACAAGCCTACGTGATGGCTGCACCGCGTAGCTCGGTGGCTCAGCGCGGACGGCGTGTCCACGAGCCTACGTGATGGCTGCACCGCGTAGCTCGGTGTATCAGCGTGGGCGGGGTGTCC